GGGGGGGGGGACAGCACCAGGACTCGAGGTGGCCCACCTGCGCTCCGGTCAGCGTGGCTATGTCCAGGATGATGTCCGCACCCAGGTCCTTGCAGGCGTAGGACACCCCATCCGCCAGGACCAGCCTGCCCTCAGCGTCAGTGTTGTTGATTTCCACAGTCCTGGGATGCCGCAGAGACCCCTGCTCAGGGACGGTGCTCCCTGGGGCACTGGGACAGAGTCCCTTTGGAACTGGGGGGACCCCATTAGAGCCCGCTTCCCTCCCCGGAAGGCAGGGCCGCTCCCACCCCTACAGCGATGTAACGCCAGGGTCAGTCCCACCCCACTGCTCTCCAGCTGTGAGCCAGGGAACCCCACGCAGCCCCCTGTGCCTTGGTTTCTTCGTCTGTGAGATGGGAGAACAGGGTTGTGCGGGTAGCCTGACGTGCACTGGGCCAGCCCTGGGCCCACACGGCCTGGCACTAGGTAAACACAAAAGGGGGAGCCCCTCCGGGGGTCACCCTGCAGACAGGCGCCCATGTACGGGGCGGTGAGTGGACTCTCCTATTGCGCATCTAGACCACCTGCTCCTTCAGCTGCTGCCCACTGACTTCCCAGTGTGTCCTTTGCAGCTGGGAAGCAGTTCAAGGGCCGATCCCAAGGGGGAAGTGCAGGGAGAGCCCTCAAGTAGGAGGTCTGGAGGTGGAGTGGGGGGTGGGGTGGGGACAGGGCTTCAGGCACACAAAGAACTTTAAGCCTAAAGGTTGGGAAGGGCGCATCCCCCTAAGGCAGGGTGGATCCTGAGCCAGGCACCCTGAGGGAGCCCAACACGTCATCTAGTGATGTGACCCGCCACCTGCCCCCGGAGCCCTGGGAGCAAGCAGCCTGCTGGCCAGGGGCTCCTGTGACAGGGCGTCCTCCCCACAGGATGCGCCTCTGGCTGGAGAAGCAGGGTGAAATCTGCCTCCAGGACGGCCGTGGGTCAGGGCTGACCAGCCTAGCCCTGGCAAGGAGAGCACCCCCCCCCC